TATGTGTGTGTGTACATGTGTATGTGTGTATGTACGTGTGTGTATGTACGTGTGTGTGTGTGTGTGTGTGTGTGTGTGTGTGTGTGTGTGTGTGTGTGTGTGTGTGTGTGTGTGTGTGTGTGTGTGTGTGTGTGTATTCACCTAGTTGTTCTTGCGGGGGGTTGAGCTCTGCTCTTTCGGCCCGCCTCTCAACTGCCAATCAACCAACTGTAACTAATGCCTTTTTTCACACACACACACACACACACACACACACACACACACACACACACACACACACACACACACACACACACACACACACACACCAGGAAGCAGCTCCGTAACAGCTGTCTAACTCCCAGGTACCTATTTACTCCTAGGTAACACGATCATTCAGGGTTAAATAAACTTTGCCCATTTGTTTCTGCCTGGTCCGGGAATCGAAACTCGGGCCACAGAATTACGAGTCCTGCGCGCTGTCCACTCAGCTACCAGACCCCCCTATGTGTGTGTCTGTGGTCCTTCCATTCCTTCTCCTCTGTTGTTCCACCTAACCACACTCAACACTGCCTAATTACATCCTTCCTCACCTATCCATTAACCCCTATTATATTCTCTACTACTTTCCTCCCTCTCCATGTTTTTGATCTCGTTCACTCGCCTCTTCTTCCCGTTTTCCGTTCTTCCCTCCCTCTTCCGTTCCTCTCCTTACATTCCCCTCTTTCCCTATACCCTTCCTTCCCCTCCTTCCTACCTTCCCTCTCCCTCCCTCCCTCCCTCTCCCCTCGCGTGAGAACTCTCACTCGCCAGCAGCGTCGTGACCTCTCTCAAGAATCTAATTTCCTCCGCAGGAACTTTGTCTTTAACTTTCCCCTTTGTACGTCGGGGATTCGTCGCCTCTTAGCAGCTCTCCCTTTCATTCCCTGGGGTGTGTGCGGGTGTGTCTTGGCAGGTGTGTGGCATGTTTGTAATGTGTGACAAGGTAAGTGTGTGGAGTGTAATGAGGCAGGTGTGTACTCACCTAGTTGTGCTTGCGGGGGTTGAGCTTAGGCTCTTTGGTCCCGCCTCTCAACTGTCAATCAACTGGTGTACAGATTCCTGAGCCTACTGGGCTCTATCATATCTACATTTGAAACTGTGTATGGAGTCAGCCTCCACCACATCACTGCCTAATGCATTCCATCTGTTAATTACTCTGACACTGAAAAAGTTCTTTCTAATGTCTCTGTGGCTCATTTGGGTACTCAGTTTCCACCTGTGTCCCCTTTTCGTGTTCCGCCCGTGCTAAAGAGCTTGTCCACCCTGTCAATTCCCCTGAGAATTTTGTAGGTGGTTATCATGTCTCCACTGACTCTTATGTCTTTCAGGGACGGGACGTGAGTTTCAGCTCCTTTAGCCTTTCCTCGTAGCTCATACCTCTCAGTTACGGGACGAGTCTGGTGGCATACCGCTGAATCTTCTCTAACTTTGTCTTGTGTTTAACTAGGTATGGTCTCCAAGCTGGAGCTGCATATTCCAGGAGTGGTATGACATAAGTGGTATACAGGGTCCTGAACGATTTCTTACATAAGTTTCTAAAGTCAGTTCTTATGTTGGTCAGTCTAGCATGTGCCGCTGAGGATATCCTTTTGATGTGAGCCTCTGAGGACAGGTTCGGTGGGATATCAACCCCCAGATCCTTCTCCCTATTTGACTCTTGTAGGATTTCACCTCCCTGATGGTACCTTGTGTTCAGCCTTCTGCTCCCTTCACCTAATTTCATTACTTTGCACTTTCCTGAGTTGAACTTTAATAGCCATTTTCTAGACCACTTCTCTAGGCTGTCCAGGTCCTCCTGTAGTCTCTGTCTATCATCATCTGTCTTGATTCTTTTCATAATTTTTGCTTCCTCAGCAAACATTGAGAAGACTGAGTCTATACCCTTTGCAAGATCGTTTACATATATTAGAAACAGGATGGGTCCAAGTATAGATCTGGCCACTCTGATGTCCCCCCTCACAGTTACTCGTTGTTTCCTGTTGCTTAGATACTCCCTTATCCACTGGAGCACCTTCCATTTTACTTCTGCCTGTTGCTCCAACTTTCGTAACAGCCTTTTATGGGGTACTGTGTCAAAAGCTTTCTGACAGTCTAAGAAAATGCAGTCTGCCCACCCTTTTCTTTCTTGCCTAATTTTTGTTGTTTGGTCATAGAATTCTATTAACCCAGTGAGGCACGATTTACCATTTCTGAACCCATGCTGGTGGTACATTACAAAGTTATTTCCCTCCTGATGTTCTACGAGCGTTTTCCTCACGATCTTCTCCATCACCTTGCATGGTAAACAGGTTGGGAAAGCTGGCCTGTAATTCAGTGCCTCTTGCCTGTCACCCTTTTTGTATGTTGGGACTACATTAGCTCTCTTCCAGCTTTCCGGTAGGTCTCCTGTTTCCAGTGACTTGTTATACACCATAGAGAGTGGCACGCTTAGGACTTCTGCACCTTCTTTTAGTATCCACGGTGAGATTCTGTCAGGCCCAACAGCCTCTGTCACATTCAGCTCCAACAGATTCCTTTTGACCTCATCACTATTGAGGTCAAAATCCTCCAAGGCTGCTTGGTTTCCTCCTCCTCCACATTTAGCGCATTGGCTTCTCCTTGTTCTTTTGTGAAGACCTCCTGGAATCTTTTGTTGAGTTCTTCACACGTCTCCTTGTCATTTTCTGTGTATCTATTCTCCCCTTTTCTCAGTTTCATCACTTGTTCCTTCACTGCTGTTTTCCTCCTGATGTGGCTGTGGTGCCGCTTTGGTCGGGTCTTAACTTTACTCGCGTAGTCATTTTCATACTGTCTCTCTGCTTCTCTCTCTCACTCTGAGATACTTATTTCTTGCCCTCTGGTATCTCTCCCTGCTCTCTGGTGTTCTGTTATTCCTGTACTTTCTCCATTTTCTTTTACTCACTTGCTTCGCTACCTAACATTCCTGGTTGAACCATGGATTCTTCTGTTGCTCTTCGCTTTTCTCCTTTTAGACCGGGATAAATCTATCTGCAGCTTCCTGGTATTTCTGTATGACATAGTCCATCATATCCTGTATATTCTTCTCTCTGAGTTCTGTTTTCCATTAGGAAGTTCCTCATCTTCATATTTTCCTCTACAGTAATACAGTTTTTTCCCTTCCGATCCCATCCTTGGATAGGATATCCGCCTCCACCAGATACTCAAATGTCAATATACTGTGGTCACTCATTTCTATGGGGGCTACAAATTTTACTTCTCTTATTTCTGACTTATTCAAGGTGAATATCAATTCGAATGTAGCTGGTTTGCCATTACCCCTCATTCTAGTGGGTTCCCTGACATGCTGGCTCAGAAAGTTCTTTGTTGCTACTTCCAAGAGTTTAGCTCTCCATGTTTCTGCACCTTCATGTGGGTCCTTATTCTTCCAGTCTATCTTTCCATGGTTGAAATTGTTCATGATTAAGACTCTGGAGCCATTCCTGCTGGCAACTGAAGCTGCTCTCTCTATTATATTATTGGTTGCCATGCTGTTCCTATCACACAACATCATCAACAACATCATGTCTGGGTCTTCTGTCATTTAATGGAAGGTTGTAAATGACTGCCACTATTATCCTCGGTCCACCCATTGTCATAGTTCCTGTTATGTAATCTCTGAAACCGTCAGAGCCCGGAATTTCCATCTCATCAAAGCTCCAGTCCTTCCTTATCAGCTGGGCCACTCCTCCACCTCCTCTCCCTTCCCTAACTTTCCTTACTATATAGTAGTCCTTTGGAAACAGAGCGTCTGTTATGACTCCTGACAATTTTGTTTCCATGAATCCTATTGCATCTGGGTTTTTTCCTGCACCCTTTCCGTCAGTTCGCTTGCTTTATTGGTAATCCAATCGATGTTTGAGTACATTACCTTGAAGCTTACTTTCCTATATCCATTTTCACCCTCCCTCCCTATAAGTGTAGGAAGTTGATCCACGGGCATTTCTACTTGGGTAGGGTCCTCCTCCTCCTGTAGAGAAGTTGCCAGTGGTTCAGGAGGAGGTGAGGTGGAAAACAAAAGGCTTAAGTCTTGCCTTGGTCTGTTTGGGACAGGAAGAAGTCCTGAGGGGGAGGGGAAAAGTAGTACTTGGGGTTGGGGGGCAGGGATTGCTTGAGGTGAGGGCCTGCCCTCCTATGGTGTAGTTAACAGGGGTTTGGGGGGAGGCGGGGTGGGGGATGGAGGGCCTAATTCTTGCCTGGGCCTGCTTGTGGCAGGAAGAAGACCAGGGGATGGGAAGGTATAGGATACTCGGGGCTTTTTTCTGTTTTCTTACTATCCTGCTTATCCTGTGTGTGTGTGTGTGTGTGTGTGTGTGTTTACTAGTTGTGTTTTTACGGGGGTTGAGCTTTGCTCTTTCGGCCCGCCTCTCAACTGTCAATCAACTGTTTACTAACTACTTTTTTTTTTTTTTTTTTTTTTTTTCCCCACACCACACACACACACACACACACACCCCAGGAAGCAGCCCGTGACAGCTGACTAACTCCCAGGTACCTATTTACTGCTAGGTAACAGGGGCACTTAGGGTGAAAGAAACTTTGCCCATTTGTTTCTGCCTCGTGCGGGAATCGAACCCGCGCCACAGAATTACGAGTCCTGCGCGCTATCCACCAGGCTACGAGGCCCCTGTGTGTGTGTGTGTGTGTGTGTGTGTGTGTGTGTGTGTGTGTGTGTGTATGTGTGTATTCACCTAATTGTACTCACCTAGTTGTGCTTGCGGGGTTGAGCTCTGGCTCTTTGGTCCCGCCTCTCAACCGTCAATCAACTGATAAACAGATTCCTGAGCCTGAGAATGATAGTCATTCAGAGTCTGCCTGAGGTAACAGCAGCACAAACCAAGGCAGACCGTATGCACCTGGAGAGAGAGAATCAACAGTAGAGCCCATGAGAAGGCTATGCATTCGAAATATCAACAAACATTTGTTAGAAATGTAGAGGCTGGGGTCATACTATATCACGAGAAAGCGAGAAAACTAGACCACTAAAACTGATATTTACGAATGAAGCAGCTCCAAGAATCTTTATGAACCTGAAAAGAAATTTCAAAACAAGATTTTAGAACAATGAGGGGATTTAAATGGGTCTTGAGGTTATCTTGAGGTTATCTTGAGATAATTTCGGGGCCTTTTAGTGTCCCCGCGGCCCGGTCCTCGACCAGGCCTCCACCCCCAGGAAGCAGCCCATGACAGCTGACTAACACCCAAGTACCTATTTTACTGCTAGGTAACAGGAGCATTTGATGAAAGAGAAACTGCCCATTGTTTCTCGCCGGCGCCTGGGATCGAACCCAGGACCACAGGATCACAAGTCCAGCGTGCTGTCCGCTCGGCCGACCGGCTCGGTCTACCTCGAAAATGACATGAGCAAGCCGGAAATAAATAGCAAAGATCAAAGAATGGGCAAGGCAGAGAGAAGGATTGAAGAGAGGAAATTGGGCAGTAGCCAGCAAGAGGAAGGAGTGAGACAAGTGACAGGAAACTTCGAATTCCCCAGTAAATACGAGAACAACAGCCACGTAGTAGCAACAGCATGCAAGAATATATAAATGATAACATGACGAACAAGCAGCTAGAGCCTCAGACAAAACAATTCGGCCTCCAGGGCTGACAAGGGACGAAATATCAAAGCACCTCCAAATCCTCTCACAGACTAAATATGCCTGAGATCCAACATCCATCTCCAACCATATTTTCTCCCACATCTCACCCTATACCTTTTCTGGAAACTAAACATTCATACACATTCGCAAACTCCATACACAGCTTGAAATGCTGAAATGAAACAGCCCAATATTCTCTGGTAATTATTTACCAGACGATTTATCGTTGAGAGTCTGGATCCAAGAGCTGTGGCGCCTCCTCCGTAAATACAGGTGAGTACATACATGGCAAACATGATTACTGTATACAAGATTTCAAAGGACTCGATCAAGGAAACTGAGAGGAACCTAAAAGATAAAACCTATATTTAAATGAGGCCAATTAAACTTAAAGAAGAACACTTATTTTTTGTAAATAGACCATATTAACATAAAAGAGGCCACCTGTACACAAAAGATGCCACCTGTACACAAGAGGCCACCTGTACACAAAAGAGGCCACCTGTACACAAGAGGCCACCTGTACACAAAAGAGGCCACCTGTACACAAGAGGCCACCTGTACACAAGAGGCCACCTGTACACAAGAGGCCACCTGTACACAAAAGAGACCACCTGTACACAAGAGGCCACCTGTACACAAAAGAAGCCACCTGTACACAAGAGGCCACCTGTACACAAAAGAGGCCACCTGTACACAAGAGGCCACCTGTACACACAAGAGGCCACCTGTACACACAAGAGGCCACCTGTACATAAAAGAGGCCACCTGTACACAAAAGAGGCCACCTGTACACAAGAGGCCACCTGTACACAAGAGGCCACCTGTACATAAAAGAGGCCACCTGTACACAAAAGAGGCCACCTGTACACAAAAGAGGCCACCTGTACACAAGAGGCCACCTATACACAAGAGGCCACCTGTACACAAAAGAGGCCACCAGCACACAAAAGAGGCAACCTGTACACAAAAGAGGCCCCCTGTACAAAAAAGAGGCCAGCTGTACACAAAAGAGGCCACCTGTACACAAAAGAGGCCACCTGTACACAAGAGGCCACCTGTACACAAAAAAGGCCACCTGTACACAAAAGAGGCCAGCTGTACACAAAAGAGGCCACCTGTACACAAAAGAGGGCCACCTGTACACAAAAGAGGCCACCTGTACACAAAAAAGGCCACCTGTACACAAAAGAGGCCAGCTGTACATAAAAGAGGCCACCTGTACACAAAAGAGGCCACCAGTGCACAAGCGGCCACCAGCACACACAAGAGGCCCCCTGTACACAAAAGAGGCCACTTGTACACAAAAGAGGCCACCTGTACTCAAGAGGCCACCTGTACACAAAAGAGGCCACCTGCACACAAAAGAGGCCACCTGTACACAAAAGAGGCCACCAGTGCACAAGAGGCAACCAGCACACACAAGAGGCCTCCTGTACATAAAAGAGGCCACTTGTACACAAAAGAGGCCACCTGTACTCAAGAGGCCACCTGTACACAAAAGAGGCCACCAGAACACAAAAGAGGCCACCTGTACACAAAAGAGGCCACCTGTACACAAGAGGCCACCAGCACACACAAGAGGCCACCTGTACACAAGAGGCCACCTGTACACACAAGAGGCCACCAGCACACACAAGAGGCCACCTGTACACAAGAGGCCACCTGTACACACAAGAGGCCACCAGCACACACAAGAGGCCACCTGTACACAAGAGGCCACCTGTACACAAGATGACACCTGTACACACAAGAGGCCACCTGTACACAAGAGGCCACCTGTACACAAGAGGTCACCTGTACACACAAGAGGCCACCTGTACACAAGATGCCACCTGTACACAAGAGGCCACCTGTACACAAGAGGCCACCTGTACACACAAGAGGCCACCTGTACACACAAGATGCCACCTGTACACAAGAGGCCCCCGGTACACAAAAGAGGCCACTTGTACACAAGAGGCCACCTGTACACAAGAGGCCACCTGTACACACAAGAGGCCACCTGTACACAAGATGCCACCTGTACACACAAGAGGCCACCTGTACACAAAAGAGGCCACCTGTACACAAGAGGCCACCTGTACACACAAGAGGCCACCTGTACACAAGATGCCACCTGTACACAAGAGGCCACCTGTACACAAGAGGCCACCTGTACACAAGAGGCCACCTGTACACAAGAGGCCACCTGTACACAAGAGGCCACCTGTACACAAGAGGTAACAAAAATTACTACACAGGTTGTTTGATAGTGATCCATTAATAACGGATCACAAGGGGAGGAGATCCCTAATGGGCGGAACATCACCCGGGCCACATTCACAGATAATCTGGGCTGGACAGCGGGGCCATCAATCTCTGGTACACAGTAGTGCCGCCGCTGATGATTGCCCCACGTTAAGCGCCCTGCCCCACGTTAAGCGCCCTGCCCCACGTTAAGCGCCCTGCCCCACGTTAAGCACCCTGCCCCACGTTAAGCACCCTGCCCCACGTTAAGCACCCTGCCCCACGTTAAGCGCCCTGCCCCACGTTAAGCACCCTGCCCCACGTTAAGCGCCCTGCCCCACGTTTAGCACCCTGCCCCACGTTAAGCGCCCTGCCCCACGTTTAGCGCCCTGCCCCACGTTAAGCGCCCAGCCCCACGTTAAGCACCCTGCCCCACGTTAAGCGCCCTGCCCCACGTTAAGCACCCTGCCCCACGTTAAGCGCCCAGCCCCACGTTAAGCACCCTGCCCCACGTTAAGCGCCCTGCCCCACGTTAAGCACCCTGCCCCACGTTAAGCGCCCAGCCCCACGTTAAGCACCCTGCCCCACGTTAAGCGCCCTGCCCCACGTTAAGCACCCTGCCCCACGTTAAGCGCCCTGCCCCACGTTAAGCACCCTGCCCCACGTTAAGCGCCCTGCCCCACGTTAAGCGCCCTGCCCCACGTTAAGCGCCCTGCCCCACGTTAAGCGCCCTGCCCCACGTTAAGCGCCCTGCCCCACGTTAAGCGCCCTGCCCCACGTTAAGCGCCCTGCCCCACGTTAAGCGCCCTGCCCCACGTTAAGCGCCCTGCCCCACGTTAAGCGCCCTGCCCCACGTTAAGCGCCCACGGCTGTTTTGCTCGCCGCGTTCAGCCACGAATGAATTGAATATCTTTCAGTCCATTAATATAGAATAGTCTGATATGATCTGTTACACATTTTTGTTAATAAATCATCTCAAATAGTTCCCTGGATATTAAATGTACCTCTAGCGAGCCTCACTGGAGGTCATACTAAGACTGAGCTCAATATCTCTCACGACTTCGTGAAGGTAATATCGACTCTACATCATTTGTAATTATCAACAATCTTATTATATACCCGATTGGAATATGAATGAAGACAGTTTTGGTATTAACTTGTTATGAAAAAGAGTCTTCACTTTATATGTTCATTATTTCCATATTGTAATGAAAATAAGTTTAATTTTCCTTTTATATGCGTAATTCTAAGTAGTTTTGTGACAATCTTCGTCAAACCTCCTTAAGTAACCCGAGGATTCTAGCAGGCGTCGAGCCTAACTACGACAGGAACTATGGGAACCAGGTAGAACTTAACACTGAAGGTCTAAGTCACTTCTCATTGGACGACTTCCCCGTTGCCTAGGCTTGTAGGCCTAGGCAATCTTGATGTTTTTCCTACAATTTGGGGTGACAGTCGGTGAACCATCAGCCTAAAGAGCGCCCAAGGGAGTACTGTATTGTAAGGTCAGCAGTACTGGTGTGGGCTCGAACTGTCTTTTCCGGGTCTATGTTATCTACAGATATCCTGACGCACGTGAGGGGTCTTGACACAAGACTTTACTGCTCAGATGAGTTACTGACTAACGTCAAAAGGACGCATTAAAGCTTAAGAGATCAATCGCAGGTTGACTGATTGATTTAGCAACTGCGTATATATATATATATATATATATATATATATATATATATATATATATATATATATATATATATATATATATATATATATGTCGTACCTAGTAGCCAGAACGCACTTCTCAGCCTACTATGCAAGGCCAAATTTGCCTAATAATCCAAGTTTTCATGAATTAATTGTTTTTCGACTACCTAACCTACCTAACCTAACCTAACCTAACTTCTTCGGCTACCTAACCAAACCTAACCTAAAAAGATAGGTTAGGTTAGGTTAGGTAGGGTTGGTTAGGTTCGGTCATATATCTACGTTAATTTTAACTCCAATAAAAAAAAATTGACCTCAAACATAATGAAACGGGTAGCTTTATCATTTCATAAGAAAAAAATTAGAGAAAATATATTAATTCAGGAAAACTTGGCTTATTAGGCAAATCGGGCCTTGCATTGTAGGCTGAGAAGTGCATTCTGGCTACTAGGTACGACATATATATATATATATATATATATATATATATATATATATATATATATATATATATATATATATCACACAACAACATCAACGCCACATCTCTCACCCTACAACAACCAGACATCAATGACACACACCTCACCGAAAATATTCTAGATTTGATCTTCACAAACAATGAAGGGACATTACAATCTCGGACACCACATACTGGGATCACAAGCACTTTGGCGTACAAACTAACATTAACACTCGTAATAAGTACAAAAAATTATGAAGCAAGAGGGGTTATTCAATTAATTACATTTTCATAAAAATAGACTGGGAAAAATTATCATGGCACTTACAAACATTGACTGGGACACTGTTCTTCTAAGTAATACATATCCCAGGCAAGGAATAGAACTGTCGAAGCAAACAAAATCCGTCTCAAATATGTTCCTTTATGGAAAGCCAAAATGAGGATCACTGTAGAAAGAGAATGAAGACAGCGCTACAGGATAAGGAAAACAAATAACGAAAATGCTGAAGCAGATACGACTATCCCTACAAAGAAAGAATAATTTAAACATTGAGATTGAAGAGATAGAAAAAGATTGAAGCAATCATATCAGATCAAATAAATGTAATTACAACAGAATGCCATACAAAAGATAACGAAAAATACAAAATATTTCTTAACATATGCGAAATTAAAATAAAAAAAAACTGTCAGTGTTAAACCTACTGTAATCTTACAAGTAACGATTCATACACAGAGAATGACAAGGAATAATGAAATCCTAAAAAAAAAACAGTATGAGGACATGTTTAGCATCCCAATAAGCAGCATAAAGTGGAAGATCCGGAAACAGCTCCTTTACGCATAACATCCAAACCCCTGAAAATATAACAGATATCAACACGAACGCCGAAGATTTTTGAAAGATAAATTGACAACATACCCATGCCCTCAGCCCCTAGTTCAGACTCGTGGTATTCAATATTAAAAAAAAAAAAAGTGCAAAGTGCCAGAAGCACAAACACTTAGTATAGTGTGAAGAAACAGCTTGGACACTACGAAGATACCAGAGATGCTTAAAACAGCAGACATAGCCCCTCTACACAAGGGAGGGAGCAAAGGATTGACTAAGAATTATAGCCCAGTCGCCCTAACGTCCCACAGAATAAGAACTTTTGAGAGAGTGATCACGAGTCAGACCTCCAGTTTTATGAAGACCAATGACCTCTATAACCTCAAGTCAACATGGGTTTAGAGTGGGAAGATCATGCCTTAAGCAGCTACTCAACCACTACGACAAAATAACTGATGCATTAGAAGAAAACCAGAAGGTGCAGATGTAGTGAACCCGGACTTTGTATAGATTTTGGTAGATGTATAGATTTTTCCCATAAATTTGGTTCGAAAGGAATAGCAGGTAAAGTAGGGCAATGGATACTAAGCTTTTTGTCAAACAGGACGCAAAAGAAAGTTAATTATATAAAATCGAGTCCAAGTACAGTGAAAAGCTCTGAACATCAGGACCAGTACATCATCACCATCTTGAGGTACATCATCACCATCTTGAGGTACATCATCACCATCTTGAGGTACATCATCACCATCTTGAGGTACATCATCACCATCTTGAGGTACATCATCACCATCTTGAGGTACATCACCATCTTGAGGTACATCATCACCATCTTGAGGTACATCATCACCATCTTGAGGTACATCATCACCATCACCATCCTGAGGTACATCATCACCATCTTGAGGTACATCATCACCATCCTGAGGTACATCATCACCATCTTGAGGTACATCATCACCATCCTGAGGTACATCATCACCATCACCATCCTGAGGTACATCATCACCATCATGAGGTACATCATCACCATCCTGAGGATCATCACCATCTTGAGGTACATTATCATCACCATCCTGAGGTACATCATCACCATCTGATCATCATCACCATCTTGAGGTACATCATCACCATCCTGAGGTACATCATCACCATCGTGAGGTACATCATCACCATCTTGAGGTACATCATCACCATCCTGAGGTACATCATCACCATCCTGAGGTACATCATCACCATCCTGAGGTCACATCTTGAGGTACATCATCACCATCCTGAGGTACATCATCACCATCCTGAGGTACATCATCACCATCATCACCATCCTGAGGTACATCATCACCATCCTGAGGTACATCATCACCATCCTGAGGTACATCATCACCATCCTGAGGTACATCACCATCCTGAGGTACATCATCACCATCCTGAGGTACATCATCACCATCCTGAGGTACAACATCACTATCCTGAGGTACATCATCACCATCCTGAGGTACATCACCATCATCCTGAGGAACATCACCATCCTGAGGTACATCACCACTATCCTGAGGAACATCATCACCAACTTGAGGTACATCATCACCATCTTGAGGTACATCATCACCATCCTGAGGTACATCATCACCATCCTGAGGTACATCATCACCATCCTGAGGTACATCATCACCATCCTGAGGTACATCATCACCATCCTGAGGTACATCATCACCATCCTGAGGTACATCATCACCAACTTGAGGTACATCATCACCATCTTGAGGTACATCATCACCATCCTGAGGTACATCATCACCATCTTGAGGTACATTATCACCATCGTGAGGTACATCATCACCATCTTGAGGTACATCATCACCATCTTGAGGTACATTATCACCATCGTGAGGTACATCATCACCATCTTGAGGATCATCACCATCCTGAGGTACATCATCACCATCCTGAGGTACATCACCACCATCCTGAGGAATATCACCATCCTGAGGTACATCACCACCATCCTGAGGTACATCATCACCATCCTGAGGTACATCACCATCCTGAGGTACATCATCCTGAGGTACATCATCACCATCCTGAGGTACAGGTACATCACCACATCACCATCCTGAGGTACATCATCACCATCCTGAGGTACATCACCACCATCCTGAGGTACATCATCACCAACCTGAGGTACATCATCATCATCCTGAGGTACATCATCACCATCCTGAGGTACATCATCACCATCCTGAGGTACATCATCACCATCCTGAGGTACATCATCACGATCCTGAGGTACATCATCACCATCCTGAGGTACATCATCACCATCCTGAGGAACTTCACCATCCTGAGGTACATCATCACCATTCTGAGGTACATCATCACCATCCTGAGGTACATCATCACGATCCTGAGGTACATCATCACCATCCTGAGGTACATCATCACCATCCTGAGGTACATCATCACCATCCTGAGGTACATCATCACCATCCTGAGGAACATCACCATCACCATCCTGAGGTACATCATCATAATCACCATCCTGAGGTACACCATCACCATCCTGAGGTACATCATCATCATCACCATCATGAGGTACATCATCACCATCCTTAGGTACATCATCACCATCACCATCCTGAGGTACATCATCACCATCACCATCCTGAGGTACACCATCACCATCCTGAGGTACATCATCATCATCACCATCATGAGGTACATCATCACCATCACCATCCTTAGGTACATCATCACCATCACCATCCTGAAGTACACCATCACCTTCACCATCCTGAGGTACACCATCACCATCCTGAGGTACATCATCATCATCACCATCATGAGGTACATCATCACCATCACCATCCTGAGGTACACCATCACCATCCTGAGGTACATCATCACCATCACCATCCTGAAGTACACCATCACCATCCTGAGGTACATCATCACCATCCTGAGGTACATCATCACCATCACCATCCTGAGGTACATCATCACCATCCTGAGGTACATCATCACCATCACCATCCTGAGGTACATCATCACCATCACCATCCTCAGGTACATCATCACCATCACCATCCTGAGGTACATCATCACCATCACCATCCTGAGGTACATCATCACCATCCTGAGGTACATCATCACCATCCTGAGGTACATCATCACCATCCTGAGGTACACCATCACCATCCTGAGGTACATCATCACCATCACCATCCTGAGGTACATCATCACCATCACCATCCTGAGGTACATCATCACCATCACCATCCTGAGGTACATCATCACCATCACCATCCTGAGGTACATCATCACCATCCTGAGGTACATCATCACCATCCTGAGGTACACCATCACCATCCTGAGGTACATCATCACTATTATATTTCTTTATTTTCATATGATATATAGACAAAAATACAAGTCACAGCTTCGTGTTATCTTTTGCAGATGACACAAAATCAACATGAAAATTTCTTCTGTAATTTTGTAATTACTTCTGATGAAACCACAAGGTGATATTACTAAAGGTTTCGACTGGGCTACAAAATAAAATGTTTAAAAGTGATAAATTACAGGCCCTAAGTATGATCAAATTAAAGACAAATAAAATACAGAGGTATAAAACACAATCAAATCTACCCATAATAGGAAGGCCACATGTAAAGGATCTGGGAATAATGATGTCTGACGACTTAACGTTTCAAGAGCACAACGAAGCCAATATAGCATCATAATGCTTATATTATTGAAATCACTTGTGCTGTTCCGCCTTGAGTACTGCTCAGTACTCACGTCCACCTTCAGAGCCGGAGAGATGGCTGAAATAGAGGGCATACAGAGAACATATACGGTACCCACAGACAATAAAAGAACTTAAAGTATTGGGATCGTCTCAAATGTCTCAAAATGTACACTACAAAGGAGTGGTATCAAATAATATATACCTGAAAAGTACTAGAGGGCCAGGTCCCGTGTTTACACAGTAAAATAACATACTGGAGTGAACGACATGGAAGGAAATGCAGAATAGAACTAGTGAACAAAAGAAGTGCCATAGGTACAATCGGAGAACACTGTATAAACATCAGAGGTCCGCGGTTGTTCAACATCCTCCCAGCGAGTATAACAAATATTGCTGGAACAAAAGTGGAAGTCTTCAATGAAAAATTGGACAGTTTTCTGCAAAAATGAGGAACCAGCCGGGCTGCAGTGGTTCCCTTTGAAGCAACAGCCTGCTGGACCAAGCTCTCGAGGCTGGCAGCGGGCCGGGCTCGGGGAGCTGAAGGACTCTAAGAACCTCATCCAGGTACAATCCAGGTCATCACCCAGACTTCAACACGAGTCCAGGACTTGGTCGAGAGAGAAACTTGAATTACGAGAGTTCGTCAACAAAGAAATAAAGTTACGACAGAATAAAGCAAGTGATGGAGGACGTGGATGAAGGAAGTGGAGGAGGTGGATGAAGGACGGAGTGGAGGAGGTAGATGAATGAAGTGGAGGAGGTGATGATGAAGGAAGGGGTTTAGAAGGAGCATGAATGAACGAAGGCGTAGAGGGAGTGGATGAATGAAGAGGTGGAGGAGGTGCATGAAGGATGGTGTAGAGGTGGATGAATGAAGCGGTAGAGGAAGTGGCTGAAGGAAGAGATTAAGGAGGTGGAAGAAGCCAAACATATACAGTGAGTGAGGATGCTGCACACAGCACAGTAGCGGAGATAACTGGAAAGAAGAAGACTATCAGACGCTGAAGACCCGCCTCTAGGGGGCTCCAGAGCATGAAGACCGCCTCTTGAGCACTAGAAGAGCCCCTAGACCACCTCTAGGGGGCTCCAGAGCATGAAGACCGCCTCTTGAGCACTAGAAGAGCCCCTAGACCACCTCTAGGGAGCTCCAGAGCATGAAGACCGCCTCTTGAGCCCTAGAGGAGCCCCTAGACCCCCTCTAGGGGGCTCCAGAGCATGAAGACCGCCTCTTGAGCCCTAGAGGAGCCCCTAGACCCCCTCTAGGGGGCTCCAGAGCATGAAGACCGCCTCTTGAGCCCTAGAGGAGCCCCTAGACCCCGTCTAGGGGGCTCCAGAGCATGAAGACCGCCTCTTGAGCCCTAGAGGAACCCCTCTAGGGGGCTCCAGAGCATGAAGACCGCCTCTTGAGCCCTAGAGGAACTCCTCTAGGGGGCTCCAGAGCATGAAGACTGCCTCTTGAGCCCTAGAGGAGCCCCTAGACCACTTCTAGGTGGCTCCAGAGCATGAAGACCGCCTCTTGAGCCCTAGAGGAACCCCTCTAGGGGGGCTCCAGAGCAAGAAGACCGCCTCTTGAACCCTAGAGGAGCCCCTAGATCCCCTCTAGGGGCTCCAGAGCATGAAGACCGCCTTTTGATCCCTAGAGGAGCCCTTAAACCACCTCTAGGGGGCTCCAGAGCATGAAGACTACATCAAGTCGAAGAGCATGAGCATGGGGGGACCCTCCGCCCCTTCCCGACACTCCCACACCCACATTGTCAAGGTAATATTCCCCGCCAGAGGACTCCTGGCCGCCGATGAAAGGATCAGGCTCTTATGAGCGGGAAAAATATGAAAGGCAGCGGCGGGCGGCGGCGACCGCGGGCTTTTCACCACCTTCGCTGCCTCGGATTTTTGGCGGATTCAGGAAGGTGATTCTGTATGGCCCGCCCGCAGGGTATTGTTGGTGGGATAGATGCTGTTGAAGACGGGATGGGAGTGGGGTGGGAGGGGTTGATGGTGGGATAGATGCTGTTGAAGACGGGATGGGAGTGGGGTGGGAGGGGTTCATGGTGGGATAGATGCTGTTGAAGACGGGATGGGAGTGGGGTGGGAGGAGTTCATGGTGGGATAGATGCTGTTGAAGACGGGATGGGAGTGGGGTGGGAGGAGTTCATGGTGGGATAGATGCTGTTGAAGACGGGATGGGAGTGGGGTGGGAGGGGTTCATGGTGGGATAGGTGCTGTTGAAGACGGGATGGGAGTGGGGTGGGAGGGGTTCATGGTGGGATAGATGCTGTTGAAGACGGGATGGGAGTGGGGTGGGAGGGTTGATGGTGGGATAGGTGCTGTTGAAGACGGGATGGGAGTGGGAGGGTTGATGGTGGGATAGGTGCTGTTGAAGACGGGATGGGAGTGGGGTGGGAGGGTTGATGGTGGGATAGGTGCAGTTGAAGACGGGATGGGAGTGGGGTGGGAAGGTTGATGGTGGGTGGGAGAGAGGAGGCGCTCTTTTCCAGTGTACACCAGGAGTGCTTCAGTGTACACCTGGAGTGCTGCAGTGTACACCAGGAGTGCTCCAGTGTACACCAGGAGTGCTCCAGTGTACACCAGGAGTGTTCCAGTGTACACCAGGAGTGCTGCAGTGTACACCTGGAGTGCTCTAGTGTACACCAGGAGTGCTTCAGTGTACACCAGGAGTGCTCCAGTGTAAACCAGGAGTGCTTCAGTGTACACCAGTGTACACCAGGAGCGCTTCAGTGTACACCAGGTGTGCTTCAGTGTACACCAGGAGTGCTTCAGTGTACACCAGGTGTGCTTCAGTGTACACCAGGAGTGCTGCAGTGTACACCAGGTGTGCTTCAGTGTACACCTGGAGTGCTCCAGTGTACACCAGGAGTGCTTCAGTGTACAACAGGAGTGCTTCAGTGTACACCAGGTGTGCTTCAGTGTACACCAGGAGTGCTTCAGTGTACACCAGGTGTGCTTCAGTGTACACCAGGAGTGCTTCAGTGTGCACCAGGAGTGCTCCAGTGTACAGCAGGAGTGCTCTAGTGTACACCAGGAGTGCTCCAGTGTACACCAGGAGTGCTCCAGTGTACACCAGGAGTGCTCCAGTGTACACCAGGAGTGCTTCAGTGTACACCAGGAGTGCTCCAGTGTACACCAGGAGTGCTCTAGTGTACACCAGGAGTGCTCCAGTATACACCAGGAGTGCTCTAGTGTACACCAGTAGTGCACCAGTGTACACCAGGAGTGCACCAGTGTACACAAGGAGTGCTTCAGTGTACACCAGGAGTGCTCCAGTGTAAACCAGGAGTGCTCCAGTGTACACCAGGAGCGCTTCAGTGTACACCAGGTGTGCTTCAGTGTACACCAGGAGTGCTTCAGTGTACACCAGGAGTGTTCCAGTGTACACCAGTAGTGCACCAGTGTACACCAGGAGTGCACCAGTGTACACCAGGAGTGCTTCAGTGTACACCAGGAGTGCTCCAGTGTAAACCAGGAGTGCTTCAGTGTACACCAGTGTACACCAGGAGCGCTTCAGTGTACACCAGGTGTGCTTCAGTGTACACCAGGAGTGCTTCAGTGTACACCAGGAGTGTTCCAGTGTACACCAGTAGTGCACCAGTGTACACCAGGAGTGCACCAGTGTACACCAGGAGTGCTTCAGTGTACACAAGGAGTGCTTCAGTGTA